TTTTGCTTCCCACTTTGCCGAAATTGCACAATATGCCATTTTGTCTAGATATTCTCTCTCGGAGGAGAAATTGTTGCGTGCAACGTTCGAGTATAAGGAATTGACGATATTCATCGCGGCCGATTCGATGGCATACACCCAGCCAGACATGCCTGTGAGAGTATTGGACTGTGACACGATAACTCAGGTGGATATAGAAATAATAATATTGGTTTATAATCACAAAATATTATAAGTTTATAATCACGTTGAATGTCAAAGCACTGTCATAGAGTGTAGTCAGAACAGTGATCCAGAATTTAACTTTTGATTTGTTACAAAATTTTTGTGACAATCTCCATCGCAGCGGATGCGCAGATTTGATAGAAAAAAAATTTGAGCTAAATTTTTTTTGGTCTTCCGGGTCATAACCCGGACACCATTCGATACCTGGAGTGTCATTGAACACAAAATTATGTTTGTTTCTCATATTTTTCGCTTTTGCCGATGATCCCTCTGGATAGTCAGATCGCAGCTCTTTTTCACAGGCAACACGTTTGCTCACGGTTTCTCTCTCAATACTGGCCTCGTCTGGTTTCTCTTGCCGGCACTGCTCTTGTTGTAATTCCTGCACGTCAGTCCAAAAAGAGCCCTAGAGATTTCAATTTTTGCAATTTTCACAGGGTTGAGCTTAGATCAGCATATTTAAGAGGAAAACTGATTAAGAAGAAATTTTCAATTTTTAAAGTTTTTGCGCAAGAAGTTTGGGAAAAAGCCTGAGTTATTTTGTTGGAATACTACTTTTAAGCAGCGCCGATGGCACATGAAAGCTTTCAAATTAAGAAGGATCTCAGAGTATCGCTTCCCTCTAAAGTAGGGAAGCTTATGACTGCATTTCCATCTCAAATATTGTATTACAGTTCTTTTTGAGGATAAGCAATAAAATGATGTGCCATACAATTTCTTCGCAATTACGGAAGTATTTTGTCAACGGTTTTATGATCTAGGTGAAAGAAAAATGCCTGGATGCCAAATACCGTACCGTACCATACTCTGACCGACCCAGTGCAAATGATTTGGATCTAGAATGGCGTACTGGTATTAATGGTCGAATGGTTCTGCAGGTAAAGCTTTTCCTCTTCATAATATTGCAATTCATAATTTTTCTCTAAAAGGATATCGACTCAACATCCCGAGTGGAGCCAGGTGGCTGGAAACGAGTCAATACATTGGGTCACTACAATGTACCGAATAACTCTGTTTTGATGTTGACAACTAGGCAAAACTCTTTGTACAATTTGGTGAGTTATCATACTTTGAAATACTGATGGGCAGTGGTTTTCTCGAACTCTGTCTTTCTTCCATTAGAGCGCATCATTTTCCAGTCGTTGCTTTCTGAAAGAAGTGAAAAATCGACACTCAGCCTGAAGAACAGTCCGACGCTCTCACGACCTTGGGTTGGAACAAATAGCAGTAGCACATCGAAGGTAATGCAATTCAACAGCATTTTCTGCAAGTGGCGTAGTAGTATTTTTTGCTGCAGGATGCCGAAGGTCAGAAACTTTACCATCTAGTCAAGCCGAGTGAGCATGGTCCATCTGAAAATCAAGAAAAAATGGTCACAGAAATCTACCTCACTAGGTTAGCTAAAGTTTGTTTTCAATGTTTGAAATGGTCATGAGGTATTTTGGGATTCCAGGTTGCTTATGATGAAAGGTACCCTCCAAAAGTTCATCAATGACTTGTTGGAAGCTATTTTTTCGACGTCATCAAGATCAGCACCGTTACCAGCAGCAATCAAGTACATGTTTGACTTCATGGATGAACAGGTTAGCTGATTATTAATAATCTGATATTTTCAAAATTACAGTACGCAGTACGAATTCCATTAAATTATTTTAGGCGCTTGAGCACGGCATCACAGATGCAGAAGTGGTTCATGCTTGGAAGAGCAACGCCTTACCATTGAGGTTTTGGGTAAATCTCATCAAGAATCCGCATTTTGTATTCGACATCCAAAAACCGACTAAGGTAAAGCACAGTGCTATATAGTGCAAGTCATCAATAGCAAATTATAACTCAAGGTGGAAGGATGCTTATCCGTTGTGGCGCAAACCCTCATGGATGCATGTTCTACGCAAGACCATCAACTTACAAAGGATTCGCCATCGAGCAAGCTGTTGTTCGCCAAGGACATGTACCAGTACAGAGATTGGGTTGATAGGTAATGATATCAGTTGTCCATTTAATAACCAACGTATAAATGCAATTTTCAGTTACTATTCGGATATTGCTCGGTTAGCTCCGATATCCGATCAAGACATGGCGAGCCTGCTAAATGAGGAGTCGAGGATTCATCGTGGCCAATTCCATGTGTTCTCAGCGCTAAACGAGCTCTACAAATACCTTGACCAGTATAAGGAGCCTATCATGGATGCACTTGAGCATAACGAACACGCCCAAGCAAGTCGGCTGCCAGGGCGACTTCAGGTAAGGAAGAATGAGGGTTGATTTTGCTTGAGGGTTTTTAGGGAGAGATGCGAAATTTGAAGCACAAGTTATGTATTAGGCGAGAAACTATCAGTGTGTGAACTTTTGCTAGTGGTTAAGCCCCATACATTCTAGGATATGCTGGCGTTGATGGAAGCAGATCAAAGCCGAACGGATTACGATAGCTCTACGCTTGGCATAGGCTACAATTCGAACAGTCGTCTAATGCCTCGTGAACGAATGTGAACCACAAAGAAATTGTTCGTCGTCACGAACTTCCGCATTAATCAGATCGCGTCATTCATTACCGGTATAATTTGACGCGACGCTGGGTGCGAGTACTAGTCTGCACGGGTTTAGCGCGCGCACTTGCCCAGCAAGATGTGTTGCCGTATGTTGAGGAATTGCGCGAGGTTAAAATGTAAAGAAGCATAGTTTTAGAAATTTGGCTGTGATTTGCGATGTATTATAGTGTTCGTAGTTCGGGTCGTGTTCGATGTAACGCATATTTATATGTACCAGTGATCGAAATGAGGTATTTAAATCTATACGTCATTTTCGTTGTTGTTCATAGTGGTTGTTGTTGGAGCATTTCACCACCCCGCAAGAAATGCTCATTCACGCTCACTCAGTTCCTCTATTTTCTCACTACAAGCCTCAATCTATTATATTATCTGTTGTGCTGCTCAAAACGTTGTATCAAAGCCACTGACGAATAACAATGGTGCTTTAGTGATTTCGCTTAAAGGTTGGACGTTTTTCATGTTGGCCCACATTGTTTCTCAAAATTCGTCTTTGAAATTCATAAAGCGCCACATTGTGCGCTCCAGATAGTAATATCCACTATGAGGTTTGAATCTTCATTGTGAATGGCTATATCTTTCAATTATATTGTTGACGATTCTTATAATGTCGAATATACATCGAGTACAGGGATCTGAATAAATATTTTATGAATCTACGAGTGTTACAAGCTCACCAGACAATACTGTTTACCATCAAAAATACTATTATTAAAAATACTTTTGTAGTATATCAAGATTACTTTGATTCT